TGTTTTCCATTCTGTAGGCTATCTCTTTATTCTGTTGGTTATTTCCTTTGCTGAACAGAAGATTTTAATTTGATATAATCTCCTTTGTCATTTCTTGATATTATTCTTGTGCATCTGGGTTTCTGTACACTTTTTTTTTGTTTTTTGGTACTGGGGATCAAACTTGGGTCCTTGTGCTTGCAAGGCAGGCACTGGAACCACTGAGCTAAATCCCCAGCCCTGGGTTTCTGTACAGAAAGTCCTTGTCTTGCCTGTATCTTCAAAAGTTTCGTCAACTTTTTCTTCTAGCAGGTTCGGTGTTTCTGTTTTTATATCTAGGTCTTTGATTGATATCAATTTTGATTTGATGCATTCATTACTATAAACTTCTATCTCAGAACTTCTCCCATTATTTTCTATGATGTGATAGTTGTGGTGTCGACTTGGATAAGAAACATTTAGCAGATTGGTTTAGCACAGTTCTGGGTTTGTCTGGATGATTAACTTATTGAAGGCAGAAGACCCACCCGGGGTGTGGTGGCACCAACCAATGAATTTGTAATCTGGATGGAATAAAAAAGCAAGAAGTCTTACTTCTACTTCTTCAGAGGAGCACCAGTCTTCACTACCACCTTTGGACATCCATCTCCTCACTTCCATTGCAGACTCTTCAGCCCTCTGATGGTATGTTGACTACATATGAAGTGAAAGAGGTGTCACAATCCAGGAGTGGCCCGGTTTCCCTTTCAAATCATCTCTGATGCTAGACTTGATATTTTGGTTTTCTCCTTCAGATTGCCTTCTGTATCTGGCTTTGTTTACTTTCTCCACTTCTAAGTACTATATCTCTGCTTCCCTTTGCATGTAATCTGAGCTTCCCTCATTTGCCTTTGCCTCTAGATACACGGGATGGAATCTATATATACTTATTTGTTTCCACAAAACTACTAACCATTTCTCATGCTAAACTCAATGAGGGGAAAAGGCCCATGGGAACAAGTCAAGGAGAAACTAGATGCAAGTTTTCATAGAGGCTATTCCTGTGGAGTCACATAGATGTGTTTAATTTTCCCAGGAAGTGATGCATGACATATGTATAAAGTAAACCAGGAAAGTTCATGTAAGCCTTGATTTCCAAGGCTTTAACTAGGAGTCAGTCATGTAAGCCTGTAACACCTGTATGGTTGACTGCAGGTACTAAGACTCCAATACATCAAAGCAAAAACAAGTATCTCCTATAAGTCAACTTGTTTGCATAAACTTCTGATCAAACTGGTGCACATGATCTAAGATCTCAGGGTTAAACAAACACTTTTTGGGTAGAGTAGACTATTCCAAGAGCACATGGTTCATCTCCTGGGAGACTGCCAATGGAAATGTGCAGGATATGAGCAATATAGTTCTGCTAAGTTAACATTTTCCTGAAGAGTTTTGATCAATATATTTTATATACCAAAATGCCCAAGGTCTATTTAAATTATAAATATTAGAAG